CTCCTGGGCCTTAGCGACGACATCGGCGTAAGACTGGACGCCGTGTCCCGCAACATGGTGACGAATAGCTGGCAGAAGCCCGTCACGAAAACGTCTCGCCTTCTTCGTCTCAGTGTCCACCAGATAAGGGACAAAGGACCCGAGACGAACAAACTCCCGCTCGTACTCATCTACGGAGCGGTGGCCCTGCTTAAGCGCCAAGAACTGGCGCTCCATCTCAGCCTTGTAGGTATCCGGGTAATACTTCTCCCGCAGCATCTCCTTGAACTGTGCCCATGTGAGGTTCTCCTTCTCACCAGGGCGCAAGCCCCAGTAGGAGTTCCACCACAGCCTGGCGTCTCCTGTCATCTGGACCTGGGCACACAGAATGCTGTGCCTCTCGGAGCACTCAATGATCTCGAAGATGGCCTCGAGACCCTGGATCCACTCATCGACTAGTCGAGGGTCTCCCTGCCCCGAAAACTTGTCTGGGTTGTAGCCGCGAAACTGAGCGACTACCTCAGCCTGGGACATCTCTCTCTGAGCTTGGTTCTGACGACGGGCCATCTGAGAATAAGCCGCGTAACTGGGTCAGAACAGGAGGATGAAATTGCATAAGGCTGAAAGGAAATGCTGAATACTGGAATAGGCACAAATTTCTTGACGAGTTGCTAAAAATAACTCGATAATCTAGAGTTCGACTAGAGTTCGAATCTAGAGTTCTGAAATCTGATAGAGGACATAACTGATACTACTAGGAGTCTTATACTGATCTGAGCATCTAGAGTTCGGATTATCTGAATCCTATTGAGCATAGACATAGTACGGTTTGCTTATATAAACTTTGAAAAACTTTTACAGCAAGCACTTACCTGGTAGTCGGCGCGGCGTGAGTGTGGTGTGGTCGAGTTTTGCAAAATTTCCCTGTCTTTTAAAACATTCAGAAGCACAAACGGTGCTCTGATACCAACTGCAACACCCCGCTAACTAGGGCCAATTTTTCGCAAATTTTAACTCTTTCGAAAACGCTTATAAATTTTTCGAAATCATTTGCAAACTATCTCGGGATGCTGCTAAGGACTTTTCTGCTTAAAAACCCGTTTCTTTAACCTAGGTCTAACAACTGGTTTAGACTTAAAGAATTCAGGTTTATATTTTTACGAATCATGCATATTAGTCTGGACCCGTTCGTACTGGCGAACCGGGTAAAATTATTTAAGTCTGAAAATAGCATCATGCATGTTCGAAAATAAACACAAGCATAGCGGAAGTCTGAAATGCGTGGAATTATTTAGTTTACAAACAGTTTAAACAAATGTCCCGGGAACAGCTTTCGTGCGGAACTCACGACCACCACCACCACAGCTTGACTCACGCCTGCCCGCCGACCCTGCCATCTGAAAATATAAAGTGGGGGTGAGTACGGTCCACTTGTACTCCATAAAAACCCATTCTAAAGTAAACAGCAATATTAATAATGATATCACAAACTGGTATATATAAGTAAACTGTAACTCCCGGAACTCTCTGGCCGGTAACTCCCGGAACACTCTGGCCGGTAACCGTGTGCACACTCTGATGGTATAACTAGGGCAAACTGGGCCACCACCAGAACTTAGGGAAGGCAAACTTGGCCTTAACCCAAAGTGGATAAAACTCATATACATACCTGAACGTGATATCGACTATTAAACTCAATGTATAACCCAGACTGGGTCCCCACCTGATCGGTTTTGAAAATGAGTAAGTGCGGCTGTGCTGGTAGCTGACTCCTCAAGCTACATAAAAATATAAGCAAACAAATATACTAAGTACTATGCTCGTCATATGCTCAAAAATATGCTAGGATGCTCTACTCTATCAGATTACTCAACCGGATATAAACGAACGCTCTATGGGTTCTCTAAAATAATTCTAAGTCCGGAAATAATACTGATATGCTTAACTGATCTGGTTTGGCTCGGAAAAATACTTAAATTTCGGAATAAGACTCGGACCGAAAATCACGAACCAAAACGGACTCGAACCGCCGGCTAAACTGGCCGGTTCGCTAACTGGCTAAACCGGGTCGGGTTGGACCGGACCGGGTTGGACCACTGGGTCACACTGGACCGGTTGGTCACGGGCTGCTCGGACTGGCCGGGCTCGGTCCCGTGCCGGGCCTGCTGGGGCCATGGCACGGTGCTGGGCACTAGCTGGGTGCGACCGGGCCTCGGTACTAGGCGCTGCTGGCGCGGGCTGTGCGGCTGGCACGGGCCCTGGCACTACTGGTGCCACTAGGTGCGACTGGGCACGACCGAGAGTCACTGGGTGTGCTGGCGCGCTGCTGGGCACGACCGAGCACTAGGGACGCGGGAACTGACGCGTACCCGGGCTGACTGGGCACTGGGCGTGCGGCTGGCACGACCCTAGTGCGACTGGCGCGAGAGCTAGGGCTGTCAGGGTGCTGCCGGGCAACCCTGGGCACGCGGGCGTGCTGCTGGGCACGTCCCGGGCCACTGACTGCTCGGGCGCGCTGCTGGGCACGTCCCGAGGCCTCTGGACCTTACTCAGGGTCACTAAGGCACGGCCCTGGACACTCGGGTGCGCTGCTGGCACGACCCGAGGTCGACTCTGCGTGGCACGAGCAACTGGCTCGAGGTCACGCGTGCACTGACCCTGGGACAACGCTGCCATGCGCTGCCCGAGGTGCCCTGGCGCGACTGGCGCTGGGACCTCGCTGGTTGGCACGGACAGGCACTGCTGGGTGCTGTCTCGTGCACTGGGACTGCAGTGCCTCGCGAGCACTAGGCGCGGGCACGGACAGGGACACGGCCTGGCCCCTGGGACGCGGCACGGGCACAGCACGCGCGACTGGCGCGGCTAGTGACCCTAGCCGGTCTTTTCCAAACTTCCTTCAACTTTTCTAGGGACTAATGAACCATACCAACATAATATGACATAATATACTCAAAAATGCCAAAAGTCCCTGAGGGACCTCGGTTGGATTTGGAGATGGGCTTATAGGGCCGATTAGGCCCGAGGCCACCCTAGGGCATAAAAATGAACATGCTCAACATGTAAAATGACTTAGGGCCGAATAAACTACATCAAAAATCATGGCTAATGAGGCTAGAACATTGGCTAAAACATACTTGCACATATACTTAGGTTCGGGGGTGAAAATGGCTCGATTTCACATAGCAACTTGACCGAACAAATGAACTCAAAACATAAAACTGTTTCAACCATGATATACTCATAATATTTGAGGATTTTTAAGATACTAATCTCGGCCATATCATGCTTGTACAAAAACTTACGAATTTAAGGCTTAGATGATCAAAAATTCATATCTCTTATATCTCACATGCATGGCATCATTTCTACACATGATAATTCTTATTTTATCATGAATAAGCTAGGAAAAATGGTTGGCATGAGCTAACCTTGCTCAAAAGTCGAAATGGTGCAAATGGGCCTTGCTCGGGGATCTTGCGGCACTAGGAACTTAACCTCGACTTTGGGGCTTGAATGGCTGAGGAGGATAGCTTCAAGTGACTTAGAAAAATCCAAAATAAGCTTGGATAATGATAAGCCTCGAGATAACTAGGCTGGAACAAGCTATACACGAGCACTCCTCTTCCCCGGGGAACACGCGCACGGCTAGGGACAATGACTTTGCTCTCGGTTTTCTCTCTTCTCCCTCAATATTGCTAAGTGTTTGATGTCTCCAAGAGTCATATCCATGCTGAGGAGTGTCCCTTTTATGAGGATAGGGGCGGAGCTATTGAGGCACAAAGGTGGGGGACAAAGGGATCACATGCACACATGAGACAAGGGTGATGGGCCTTGGGCTGACTTGCACGAACTTGGAGGAGAGGCAGGGCATCTTGACTGACCAAAGCATTAAAATATGCTGGGAGAGCAGGTCTGGTCGGCCTTGAGGTAAGTGGGGGACAAATCCAAATACAAATGCATTAAAATATTACATGCACATGTCCACATTTGGACTCACTTGAAAGTGGATTGGGCTTAACTTCCTTAGGGCCATTTTAGCTCAAAATGATCCTTATCAAGTGTATAAAATTCGGAGGTTTTGGTCCCTGAAAGATTTGGGCCAAAAACATGTGAAATGGCCTCTTGAAGTTGGGCTGTCGCGCTGCCAGCGCTGGCCCTGGGCGCGGGCTGCTGGGCATGGCGCGGCACTGGGCCTGGCGCGAGGGCGCGGCCTGGCTGCGCGGGAAAACTGGCCTGCTCGGGAAAAAATGACCTTGGGCTGATTTTATGGGCTGAATTGAGGCTCACAACACTTAGAAAAATACCATAAGTGTTTGGCCATGACTTGGGCACCATGCTTGACTCGCGCGAGGCTAGGGTGCGGCAGTAGGGCACGACTCATGGCCCGAGCTTGGAAAATGTTTAGTCGAAGATAACCCTTGGCTAGAGATGAACTCGTGGCTCGATAAAAAGGATCTCATACTTAGAAAATATTCTAAGTAAGGCTATGAGCATGGCTAGGGCTCGAACAAGACTCGAGACAACTAGGGCTCGAGAATTGGCTAGGCGCGAACTAGGCGCGATACTCGCGACCGAACAACTCGGTTCCGGACACGGCTAAACTTGGACGATTTATCGAAACAAACTCGGTTTCGATTATTCGTCAACTGGAATAACTAATTCCGACTGAATAAAATCCATTAATAAAATAAATGGACCGGAATTAATAACTGAGATTGAATAGCTGATAACTGGGCTCGGAACTCAAGACGAGCAGTATTAATAAAAAGAAATAGTTCAACTGGGAACTAAAAACTGTCATTTTTATTAATACAGAACTGGGCTATTACAGTGGGCTTGGAGATGAGGGCAAAAGATAAAGTTGTCTTGGTCGAAGACAAATTTTCTGAGGAGGCTGTCTCACCAAAGAAGAATGAACATGGATTGGATACCGGTATGTAAAATGTAATTGTAATTATACGTAATTTGATAGTTTATTCTTTCTAAAAAATGAGTATTCATTGTTTTCTTGCCTATTGTAGGTGTTGTGACCGACCCGTCATCAACGATGTTCCAAGAACGACATTTGGAGATCGAGGAAACCGATGAAGATGATGCACCCGAGTCTCCTAAGGGAAGAGGCCACCGGAAGAAAAGAAAGGCCGCCATCCTACTTACTCCGTGGAGGAATCCCGGAAAAAGACAAAAAATTTCAAATGTGACGGAGTACGACCCTCATAGGACACTGGATGAAGCTAAACTTGAGGATTTAAGGCAGTGGTTGGCGAACTCCCCAGAAAGGTATGTATTTGTGTTAAGTTAATTGTGGGCTATCTCATTCTAATATATAAGGTTGTCTGTCTTTGTTTAATTTACCCATTTTTTATGTAGTGATGAAATTGACGTAGCTTGGGGTAAGGGTAGCGCAGGGAAAAATTTTTTTAATGACCTTCTGGACGATAAATGGCTTTGTAGTGAGGTAAAGTATTTAATTTTTTTTTTTCGAGATTTTACTCTCTAAACATGACATTTACTAATCTAATAAACATTATATACTCTTAGCATGTAGATGCAACTCTTTTTCACATGAGATGTCGGGCTATAGAGTACCCTCTCTTGTTTAGACAAGATTGTGTCATGTTGGACCCGCATTTTGTGTCTTATATAAGAATGTTCTTTAAAGACGCGTCAAAGTTGAAAGCTTTGATAGGACAAATTTTCCAAAGGCATTAGTTAAGTACGCCGAAGGGAAACTACCCACTCATGCAAGGCCGTGGACTAGTTGTACCAAATTGTATGTTCCCTTTTGTAATGTGAATAATGAACATTGGGTAGCACTCGACATTGATCTCTCCAAAAGATGCATTGATGCATATGATAGTTCAACGAGTGTCATGCGGAAGCGACAATTTGAAACGGAATTGGAGCCCATTCGAGTTGTCATACCTATGCTAATGAGGATGTTGAATGCTACCTACAGTGCAGAAAAATTTGATTTGAAACGATTACCATGTCCTAGCCAAGCAAATGGGTATGTATAACATATATTTTCATCATATCATGATTATAAATGTATTATCAAACTTGGTAAACTAATAGATATTGTACATTTATATTACAGTTTGACTGTGGGATGTTTACAATCAAGTTCATCGAGTTTTTGCATGCTGGGAAGGATGTTAAAGGCGTAGAGCAAAAAATGATTCCCTCTTGGCGTATCAAACTAGCAGCTGAAATTTTTGCACAGCATTTTGATCCTTAATTTGTTTTAAAAGTTGAATATTCAATGGCTTGTAGGGATGTTTTGGATATCACATTTTGACTGTTGTATTATTTTTTATGTGTTTTTCAGTGCAATGAAACGAGTTGTTAAGTTTTGAAGTTGTTTTTGACTGGTGTATTGTTATTTCACGTATTTGCCTAATGTATTACCAGCATTTAATTCACCTAATGTATTTCTTGAACAGCTATTATAGAAATTTTGGAATGACTGTAGTCACGGGATAATGCATTATATAATAGAAGTAGTACATTATTATAGCTACAATTTCACTCCTGTAGATAAAAAATACATTACATTTTGAATTTACCTTCTTTATAATAGCATTTTATCAGCCCTTCGCAACCCGATTTAAAAGTCTTTGCCTAAAAACAACGCACTGTCACTGTGCATCCGTTGCATCCGATGTTGGAGGTGGAGGTGGAGGTGGAGGTTGAGGTGGAGGGTAGGGTAGACTGCGGCCTGAACTCAAGCGAACGTCCCATTGCTTGAACTGGTCGCCCCATTGTTTCCACTGATCAAATTGCCGAGACTCCCATTGGGTCCAACGTTCATCGATCCTCCTGTTGTGCTCCTCCCAACGCCTATCATTATGCTCAATGAAGGTATCGAGCCTCTTGTTGTGCTCCTCCCAACACCAATCAATATGCGCAATGAAGTTAACGAACCAAGCGGGGGCTTGTTGAGATAGCGCATCCGGAGCGCCCGCGTCAACTGGTGGAGGGAGGAAATAGTCCATCGGGTTGGTCTGTGTTTCATCGTCCTCTGCCTCGTCCTCGGTATCAGGTGGTGGCAGAGAGGAACTACCTACTTCGGACGATTTTTTCAGCTCTGCCATATATGCCTTAGAGCAACATCGAAATTTGTAATCAATGATCGTGGTGCTGTTTGAAACGAGCTCGGCTTTCGTCAAATCCCACAACGCGATCTTCTTCGGTTGAAGCGGCACTTCATCAATTTGAACTTTGAAGTGCTTAGCGAGTGCGGTGACGACATTGGCCAATCTCGGAGGGCGGTTGGCGAAGATTCTCGTTTCCCGGAGTGTCTCTTTAACAAATGCAGTAATGCATATGGGCTTCTTTGCACACATTGCCGACAAGAGATAAACTTCTTTCTCGCTAACCTTGTTGGAGTCTTTCTTGCCAAAAACATTGTAGCACAGAAATTTATGTACCACTGCAATGGCCACATCTTTGATTAGCCCATTTGATGGGCCCTTTATTGTGGCATGGAGAGAGAACGGCCCAATGCTTGTGTACGTCAAAATCACCGGGTACTTGGCGAGACCCCGTCGTGCGGAAACCAAAGACCTCATGCATGATCTTGTTATCAACCTTGTATTCTTCACCTTTTATCCGAAAAGTGAAAGACTTGCCTTTGTCTTGTGGTACAAATGCGGTAAAGAATTCAACCGATAGTTCCTCGCATGCCACATTGTCCATGGCTTCGTACTTCTCAAGATTGAGTGCCTTCAAGTATTTCCTCACGTCATCCGAGATTTTTAATGAGTCTAGCAACTCCCAATCAAGTGTCCTTGGGATCCGGCATTTCATCTTCATGAGGCGTTTGTACGAGTGCACCTCATCTTGAGAGAAAACTGGGAATGGAATGCCGTGCTTTTGAGCCAAAGTTTGAGTTTCGGTGTCCGAGTTCGAGTTGCTATTGTTCGAGTCCGGTGAAGAAGGTGGGGTTCTCGTAATTGCTTTTCTTTTGCCTTGGTTGTTTCCTTTGGAGGGAGCTTTTGATGACGAAGCCTTTCCCATGATCGGTTATTGAATACTCTCGAAGGAAGTAAGTGGATGCAAGCGATATAGCCCTCTTACCTAGTTGTGACAATTTCTCGAACACCTTGTGTGCGCAATAATGTGTTTGAAAATTGTGAAAAAGGAAGAGAGGTAGATTCATCAAATCACAAACAATTAATTTGTAACTATACTATTCAAGCAATTTGCGAGACCTTACCGTTTGTTGAAGTCGAGAGGACGATGTTTGTCGGAATGGCTTTTGGCAATTAGGGCTTACGAGAAGACAACCTTGCCGCAATAAAAGTTGCCGGAAAGAGGGAGTGTCCTCGCCGGTCGGAAACAAGTGGTGTTGTCGCCGGAGATTGGAGATGAAAGGAACGATTTTCTCGAGCGGAGCGGTTTTTCTTTTTTTTTTCTTCTCTTAAGAGTTGGTTTTGAAAAATGAGGAATGCGGGGAAAGAACGGGCGGGGGCGTTTATTTATAGGGTTTAGGGTCCAGGGCGCGACAAAGATCGTGGGCGTGACAACTGTGCTTCTAGGTCGTCGCGTGCGCGACACTATGTCGCGGGAGCGACACTATATATGGTGCCACAAAACCGCGCGACGCCCAGTCACGCCCGCGATGCAGAGGCTGTCGCGGGCCAGTTAATCTTTTTTTGTTTTTTTGGTTTTCTTTTTTACATTTGTTTAAAAATCAATATAATGTTACTCGCTTTAATTCCCGGATCTCGACATCGAACTCCTTCGTTTACAACGAGTGTAATATCTTTGTGATTGATTATATGTCGAGTTTTGGGTGTTTTTGATCGAAAATGTACGTAACGAATGTACATTCTTTATAACGAAAGTACACTCGTTATGGTTCATTTTCGATCAAAAACACCCAAAACTCGACATATAATCCATCACAACGATATTACACTCTTTGTGGGTACAATTCTACTCATTTTTCATGTAAAATAATGAATTCACAAAGATTCATCCAACCATTTTCCAAGAACAAAAAAAAAAAGAGAAGGATATTTATGTGTATTTCCATTTCGTTATGAGTATTTCCACGCTCGAACGGGTCCAAACTATCGTTCAAAGTTGATGTATGACCAGGAACAATGTTTTACACGTGATTCCATAAAAAAAA